AGCAGCAATTTTTTTACATTATAAAGGCTGAAATTGTAACCTACTATAAGACATAAAATCAGCCCTACACTTGTCTATTTTACAACTCTTGGATTAGACAAAATAAAGAAATATTTCTTTGACTTTTTAAAACACATTACACATCAACATTCTCCCCCTTAATGTGTTTTTCTTGAACTCCAAGTGCAGCTCTTAGTTGCTGAAACTTTAATGTCGGAAGTGCCTTTGTGAAGATATCCGCCACTTGTTCTTTGGACTTGCAATAGTTTAGTTCAACTTCTCCATCTTCAATTGCATCTCGAATGAAGTGATACTTGATTGCAATGTGCCTTGTTCTACTATGAAAACATGGATTCTTTGCCATTGCAATAGCTGATTAGTTGTTACAAAACAATAGTGTGGCTTCTCCTTGCTTCTCTCCAATATCTTCCAAAATTCTCCTTAGCCATATAGCTTGTGAAGTTGTAATAGAGGCTGACATATATTCCGCTTCAGCTGAGGATTGAGCAACAGATTGTTGCTTCTTGGATAACCACGAAAACACTCCCGAGCCAAGGGAAAATGCATAGCCGGAGGTGCTCTTCATATCATCAACACAACCTCCCCAATCACTATCACAAAAGCCTCTTAACTTCACTTCCAAATTCTTCTCAAATCTGATCCCAAAGTTTAATGTCCCCATTATATACCTCAAAACTTTTTTTCCAACACCAAAATGTTTATGAGTTGGAGTACTCATAAACCTTGAAAGCAAACTTGCGGTAAACATGATATCCGGTCTTGTTGCGGTGAGATAAAGCAAGTTTCCAATCAAGCTTCTATAAAGAGTTTCATCAATCTTCTTTTCTCCATCATCCTTCATCAATTTCTCATTGCAAGCCAAAGGAGTTTCCACACATTTACAACCAAACATTCTAAATTTTTTAAGCACTTTTTCGGCATACTTTATTTGAGAAATAAACACCCAATTTTTATCTTGATATACTTCCATACCAAGAAAATAATGCAACAAACCCAAATCACTCATTTCATATCTTTTCATCATTTCAACTTTAAATTCTTCAATCATTTTTGCATTATTTCCCGTAAACACCAAATCATCAACATATAATGCAATAAAAAGAACATCGGTGTTACCTTGATGTTTCACGTACAAGGTTGTCTCACTTTTGCTCTTCAAAAAACCATGTTGTTGAAAATAGCCATCAGTTTGACTATACCATGCTCTTGGTGCTTGTTTGAGCCCATACAAAGCCTTTCTTAGTTTATACACTTTGTCTTCTTCTCCTTCGATTATGAAACCTTGAGGTTGTTCAACATATACCTCTTCTTTGAGTCCTGACTTGACATCAAGTTGGTACAACAACCAACCTTTTTGGGCTACAAGAGCAATGAGTGCTCTAATGGTGTCTAGACGAGCAACCGGAGAAAAAGTTTCATCATAATCAATGCCGGGCTGTTGTGCATAGCCTTTCACCACCAATCTTGCTTTGTTTCTCTTGAATGAACCATCGAAATTATGCTTCACCTTGTAGACCCATTTCACACCAATGACATCTTTCTCACTTGGTCTTTCAACTAGCTCCCAAGTGTTGTTTTTCTCAATAACTTCTATTTCTTCCTCCATTGCTTTTTTCCAACACTTCTCCTTCATTGCTTCTTCAAAGTTATCGGGCTCAATCACACAAAAGTTGCATCTTGCAAAAACATCATTTAAATCCCGCATTTTTCTTGGAGTTGAGCTTGATGATGATGAATTTGAGCTTGAGGGACTTGAGGGGCTGCTTGGTGATGATAAATGTGAGCTTGAATGGACTCCATTTTCTTCATTTTGTACATCTTCAATGGCAGATTGTTGGGGCAGATTTATTGAAATTGGAGTGCTTCTTTCAACTTCTTCTTTTTCCCAATTCCAAGTAGCATTTTCATCAAACAACACATCACGGCTAACAATTACTTTCTTGCTCTTCAAGTTGTACACCTTATAGCCCTTTGATTGTGAGCTATAACCAATGAAGATACATTTTTCACTTGCTTCATCAAGTTTGCGCCGCTTCTCTTTTGGCACTTGAGCATAGCAAATACATCCAAACACTTTCAAGTGTGTCACCGAAGGTTTTCTCCCATTCCAAGCTTCAATAGGAGTCATGTTCCATACCGCCTTTGTTGGGCATCGATTTAGCAAGTAAACGACCGTATAAACCGCTTCAGCCCAAAAAACTTTTGGAAGCTTTTTCTCATGCAACATTGATTTTGCCATCTCCATCACGGTTTGATTTTTTCTCTCGGAAACACCATTTTGTTGTGGTGTATAGCCAACTGTCAGTTGCCATCTCCATCACGGTTTGATTTTTCCTCCCATTGCTGGTTCCTCTAGCAAATCTGCCACTTCCTGAGTTTGTTTTTTGAGCGAGTTGCACGCTTGATTGTGCAATATTGAGAGATGTAAAACTACTTCTGACTTGATTTATGTATTCAAGCCTACTCTCAAAGGTCATTAGAACAGAGGAAAGTTCATGCCATGATATATTTTCCCTGCTGTTTATCTGAACAACGATGGGAGTATACTCCTCATCCAAACCTGACAATACTTGGTTGACAAGGTCTCCATGCTCTACTGGCTTTCCGGCTATCTGAAGATTATATGCCAGTTGCTTGACAGTGAAGAGGTATTGATCCATAGTCATAGGTCATTTTCTGGTTCTCTGCAACTCACCAGTGAGGAATACGATTCTTGATTTGTTCAGTATCCCATAGCTTTCTTCAATTGCTATCCACAGTTTGTTGGAGCTGGTGCTTCCCATAACTCTCATAGCTATCTCCGGAGTCATAGACGAGTATAGCCACCCCATGAGTAGCTGGTCAGTGGAGATCCACTTGCTGTATTCAGCATTCTGAGCCATGTCTATGGCTTCTCCTTCATTCACAGTTGTCTGTGTTGCTGTAAATTCCTCTGGACATTTTTTTGTTCCAAGCAAGAAGCCTTCAAGATTATGCCCCCTGATTATTGGCATAATCATGTTCTTCCATAACAAGAAATTATTCTTGTCGAGTTTTACTGCAGGTGTTTGAGTAAGGTTCATTCCAAACGGTGAAGATTGAATAATACCAGCTTGATCAGATGGTGTTAAGCTTGGCGAGGTTTGGTCTCTTGAATCAGTGTTTGCCATTTTCTGGCTCTGATACCAAGAAAGAAACCGAGAATTTATCTCTTCAAAATAATAGAAAGAATTACAAAAAACTCAATGAATTACATTCTCTAGCTTACCTTATATACAGAGAGCATAGAGAGGATATTCTATTTTCCATAACCACCTATAGCCAGCTGGCCTAACAAATTATATTCTAATCATGTACTGCCTATTGTGCTGTGTACTACCCAATCGTGCTGTGTATTTACCATAAATTTGTTAGGCTGTTTGTTTGTTGGTAGTGTAAACTTTAACAATCGACAAATAGGTTCATGAAAACCACTGGAAACAAAACAAAGCAAAGACAAACGCATTCAAACAAGCTTGCCCGGTGGAATGCAGGTGGACAGTTCACTAACAAATGCATTTCCAATTGACTGATAATATATTTTTTGGGTAATGTAAAGAAGAAAAAAGGAGTCAGTTCGTAAACCTGATGTGGCTTGAACTTTTTTAGGGAGGTTTTTGATAAGAAATCTCCATTTTTATTTATTTATTTATTATTATTATTATTATTATTACTTTTTTTGCAAAATTGACGGGACATTGAGTAGAATAATTCGAATACATTTATATATACAAATCAATGTCGTTACAGATACGAAGTTCCACAAAGGGAAGAGGGAGTCATGAAGCAAAAGATTGAAGACAACAAATTCAAGCTTCAATTTCTAATTGAAGCCATAGAATAAATTAAAGTAGTAATCCGTAATAAACCTAAAATACATCAAAGTAATTAAAAAAATTTATCTTAAGAACAAATTTAAGTACTGTATGGTAAGTAGGAAATTTTAATAGAGCCACTAATTTTCCGAGTTATTAATAATACTATTGAACTAGTATTGTAGGCAAAACTTCTTTTCTCTTAGTTTCAACTTTCAAGCTAAGCCAAACATGATCTTTAAACAAGGATGATCTTTCTCGTCTATTTGTTGCTCGAGATGCTCAAGTCTTTAAAGGTCAAGAAGCTCGTTGTATCCCTAGTGTAGTGGAGACATGGACTAAGGATTTTGGCTTTGAAAACTTGGAAGACGATGATAGAGGGTTTGAGCAAAATTAACCTCATGGTGTTTCCAGAATCACATCAAAAAAAGACCCCACCATAACCTCCTCTCCATTCTTCTTTCAATAACTATTTGAACATAGTAGAAGAAACGATGAGACCTGTAAAAAAAATATATTCATAATTGATATGCAAGCAACCACAATGTACAAGTGTTACCCAATTTTACAATTAAACGATAACGCCCAAAACGGTGAATGACATGATTAATTGAATGCAAACAGAAAAGGAAGATGACATGGAATCCTTTTAAATAGTTGGAAACACCTTAGCCTTGCTACTGTTTGCTCATTTACCAAGAAACAGAAGTCTAAATAATAAGCTAGAGAAATTGCACTGGTGGTAACCATTCAAAGGGAACATACAAGGAAACACTGAAGTCTATATTTTACAAATTTACAAATTATTTATCTTTCATTACTCTCAAGTTTAAATTGTTAAGTAAATCCCCAGTGTACTACCCATTTTATACTCATTAGGTAAGAGATAAACACGACACTAAATCTTATTGTCTACATCTAAAGTTACCGATGTACGAATGTAAAACTCTGAGGGAAGACAAAAATAAAAAAAATTATTTAATCACAGAAATTAAAACCAAAAATAAAGTGTAGGAAAACAAAGCAGATAAACTTTGAGTTACACCATTATACACCATTATACATGATTCATACACGATTCTGAAACTCATGGCATGATGAACGCGTTTAACACGAGGATCTTTGGCGGCGATTTTCAGAGAGGTGATGGCAACATATGTACAAGAAATAAGAAGATTGAGTTGGAGAATTCTTGAGCTGATTTGTGAAGGATTGGGACTTGAAAAGGGATTCTTTGAAGAAATAAGTCAAGTCCAATTTCTATCAGCAAGTAATTATCCAGCATGCCCAGACCCAAGTGTGACTTTGGGAGTATTAAAACATTTTGATCATAGCTTTATAACAATACTATTTCAAGGAAATGTTGATGGGCTTCAAGTGTTTCATGATGGCAAGTGGATTGGAGTTGGGGTTTTACCTAATGCCTTTGTTGTCAACATAGGCACTCAATTAGAGGTATATTTCAATTGTTCAATTATTTTTAGAGATACTGCTCATTTGTTTATGAAAGTAACTTTTCACTACACCCTTTTAATTATATTGAATAAAGAAAGTAGAAAGCTGAGAGAAAATTTCTCATAATCGGAATTTTTTTAAATTATTATTATGATGGGATTCAAACTCAAGCGAGTTTGACAATATATTACATGTATTTCAGTATGTTAAAATAGAAACAACTGAATGTCAACCGACAAATTATATCTCACATGTCTCTTTCTTAATCTTTTCAAGTCTAACACTCGCTTCTTTTGGTGTAGATTATGAGCAATGGAAAGCTAAGAAGTGCAGAACACAGAGTAATGACAAATTTAGATGAAGAGAGATTAACCATTGCCACATTCATTAATCCTTCTCCAAATTGCATAGTTGAACCAGCCAAAGTTTTGATTAATGAATCAAATCCTCCTTTATATGATTCATTTATGTTCAAGGATTTTGTTGTTTCTTCCAAAGCCTTTGGTCCTTATACTGAACCTATAAATTAACCTCAAAAATTAACCTCAAGGTGAAAATATGTAAATTCCAAAAATTTCAGAAAACGTCACCTCAAAAACTCTCATTTCCAAATTGAAACCGATAAATTGAACCTATATCAAAATTAGATCTTTCCGTCAAAATTCCTAGCACTCACCATCAGATTCAAATAGCGCACAAGAAAAATAGCAACAAAAAAAAAAAAAGGCATATATTGATAAATTAAAAAAACTCACCTCTCATCTGAATTACAACTACGATAAAATTAAGGTTCCTCCAATTCTTAAATTAGGAGAGTCTTGAATTTTAACTCTAATAGACTATTGGCACATTAAAAGGAAGAAACGGTGGGCTTTTGCCACACTTCTTCGCAGGCCCAGAAACTCACAAGTAAATGGCTTTGTAAGACCAGATAGGGCTCGAAACATGGCACAGCTGGCAATCACTCAATACGACATTTCTATCTGTTGAAATTTGGCCTAATTATTATTATTATTATTATCTTCATTCAATTCAAGCGTTATTTATACATGATGTAATTTAATCCTCTTCAAAATAGAAAAATTATAGAAGTCCTTTCCCATATAAGTCATAACTAAATAAAGATAACTCGTACAAACCATCTATATACTCTAATTAAATACGGAAACCTAACTCAGACAAACCATGTGTAAAATCTAAGTCCCATCAAGTTGGTGCATAGATATCACACATTTCTATCTTGGATAATGAATTATAAAATGTTCTATTAGCAATTACTCCACACCAAAAAATACTTCTACGCACAACACAAGAACTGGAAAAAAAATACTAACAAGGAAGAAGCCAAGAAGCCGACCAAATAGAGAAACTACAAAAACAACACAAACACAAGGGTAAAAAATCTTCGAATACAGTAGAGGCCGTAAACATACATCGACAGTCAACCAACAAAGTAATCTGAAAACCTGTCTTTGGGAACAAAAAAGCTTGCACGCCGAGAAAAGCTTCACATTCATACCAGAAGGGTCATTGGAGTGGTAGGAATTCTAGGAGGCGATATGATGCGATATTAAGTATAAATCGCACAAACTAATAAACAAGAACAAGATATAAAATAAAATAAACAAGAAGATGAAATTGGAAGAGGAACCGAATATCTTATTAATAACAATTTTTCTGTTGTCTAAAACTGAATGAAGAGTCTACTACTTAGGAGAGATGTTCAAACCTTAGAATTAACCTAAAATATGGAAACTAGGTTAAAAATCGCACAAAACCGAAAAAGAAGGAAAAAATACACGGCCGGTCGCTCGAATGATAGGCTGGCGACGAACTCCGAGTTCTAATTTTGTTCCTATCGCTCAAACTATAAGCGGGAGTCCGTCCAGCGCCGTCAATCCGCCTTTTTTTTCCTTCTTGGACCTATTTTGTCATTCAAAGGGAACATAAAAGGAAATAGTTAAGTCAATATTTTACAACTTCATTAATTTTTTTATCATTCATTACTCTCAATTTTAAATTGTTCAGTACACTACAATCTATTTTAATCACCAGTGTACTACCCATTTTATACTCACTAGGCATGAGATAAATAGGACACTAAATCTTTGGTGTCTACATCTAAATTTACTGATGTAAGTGCCGCTGAATCTATAAATGTAAAACTCACAGGCGATTGTTGAAGACTTTAGGACGAATAGTGGTGGTCCTAAAATGATAAATTCGCATCTCTTGGTATTTACGGACTCTGATTGGTCCGCTCTAGTATATTGACTTATCTCAATTTAAATTTCAGAATTAACCCGTCATCGTATGGGATGACATTAGGATTGAAGTTACCTTGTGGGTAACATTGCTTGTGCTAAAATTTTAGAAATTATTTGTCATATTTGAAGTATTGAATTTTATTGCAAGTTGGTAATTAATTTTGTCATTGACGAAGAATAAATTTTTAATACACTTATATATCTTGTTTGTGCCTCATCATTTACCCTCCCTTTGTTATCATTGTAATGAGACTCATAATAAAGGTCTATTTCTTCGTGTACATTGTCTTTCGTAATTGCTCTCTACTTGAAATAATATATATAATGTTATACAAATATCTTTTTCTTCATAAACTGAAAAAGAAAAAAAATACCTTTTTTTCAAGGCGTGCAACAAATTATTTTGATCCACCACTATGGTTATATTTAATGTAGTTGTGGCTTGCCATATTGAGTGTAGATATTGTCTGAAATTAATTCATATATCAATATAATTAAATATATTATCATAATTTTATTATTATTATTATTATTATTATTATTATTATTATTATTTTGGTTATATTAATTAATTTAACATAACAACTAAAATATATTACTCTTAATATTTATATATAAGAACATCTCTAGTAAAAGTTACCTGAAATTCAAGAATAGGCCAATATCGAAATAGCTAGTCCCAATCTACTTGTTTTATACGAGTTGGACAGTTTTTTATTGCGTCATTCAATATTTTTCTATTGAAAGATTTCTATTTGAGTCTACATCTATAATCACAATATCTTCTTGCTAATGTATCGTTCACATAGTTATGGACATGCTTAAATGTCAAATCAAGCTTGAATTTTTCCTACAAAAAAAGAAAAGAAAAGAAAAGGAGTATATATTGTTTATAAAAACATGAAAAATAATTATTATTCAACAAATTTGTAAAAAGTGAATTTGTTTTTGACTTACCAAAACTCGATCATATAATTTATTTTTTTCTTCATTGGGAATGTCGATCCACCTTTTGTAATGGATTGGAGAAAAGGATCGAATGATATAGTGAAATAAAGCCTGCAAAATACATATTGTCTTCACGAAATTATTTTTGTAACAAAATCTCTATGCAACAATTTTTTTTTGTTGCAAAATCAATATTTTTTTGTAGTGCATACACATTATACAAGCCAAAGAGGCCTATTGGGATAAAATTTCATATCAATCACAAGAAAAGAGAGCCCAAAAGGAGAGAAAAATCAAGAAATCAATCAAAAAGCTAAGATTTCAAAATTTTACAAGGAAAAGACGACGGAATCTTGGTGCAAGATCTTTATCTTTCTCCCTTTTTCCTCAAAACCTGGACGATGTACTTTAAGTCATTCTTGTTTTACTCCTTTTTTCAAGATGTGTAATTAAGTAATTACTTAGCATGAATTATCGTAACCTTATTTTTAATTAAAAATCTTCAATCTTCAATTGACATTGTGAATTATTTTTACTTTTATTTTTAATGTTGGACTAATTGGCCACTAATTTATTGATTTATGAGCGATAATTACGTTGAAAGGCGGATTATTTGTTTAAATCAAGTAGTAAAATTCAATAATTAGTATAAAAGTATAGAGATACATTTTCTAATTAGTGCGTCGTTACATGGATTCATAGAAAATTGTGGCGTTTAACTAAGATGTATCTAGAATTACGTAAATATACATAATTGACTTAGTTAAATAAAATCAATTTGAAATCAAGATAGGTAAATTGAATATATTAGAAGAAATCGATCGAGTGCACATAATCAATTGTTATAAAATTTGGTGATTATAATTAAGGATATAGCTATGGTGAACTCGTGAATCCTAACATTTGAACCATCACATAAAAATTTACTTTTATTAGTTTTGTTGAACTAAAATAACAAAAAATAAGATAACTTGTTGTATTAGTCCTAAATCGAATTGAAGTTAGGAATTATTGAATTAACGGTTAGATAGTAGTACTCATGTGAACGATAATCCAGACTTTTAGGTCAACTGCATTACTTGTTACAATCCTTACACTTGCGGGATATAAAATTGACACCAAGTTTTTGACGCCATTGTGGAGGACTATTTTTATTTAATATTAGTTTATGCTATTTCTTGTTTGATTTTTTTTCTTCCTTTTTTTCAGCGGAACTACTTGTTTTTCTTTATTTCATTGACAGGGAATGAAAAGAAGCAAGAGAGCAGCAAAATATACGATGATTGATCCTGATTTAGATGAAGGTGATACGCTTGGGGAAGATTTCTTAACAATTTAATAAGTTGGATTACAAGTAACAAGCTTATAGAGGACCTCTTCATCATTAAACATGTGGAATCAATAACTAAAGAAGAAGAACATGTAGAAATCGAGGAATTAATCATGAAAGAGCCAAACGAATTAGTAGCATTCAAAGAAGATGGAATTCGCATGCAAACCTCCAATTTCATTGATTTTGTGATCAAAGCCAATGAAGAGAGTGAAGTATTCTTAGTTGAGTTTAAATCGATTAATTTATGCAAGTTATACCATATTCAAGAGGGAAAAGTAATATTTTAGAGGATGTACGAAGTGTGGTGAAAACATAATTTAGGCAAGCTAAGAAAGACCTCAAAAATCCTGTTCAAAGTAAAGTTGAATTTGAGACTATAAATCAAGAACTAACGGGAGGCAACCCAACTTTCTAATCTAAAACTTTAAGTTTTTTTGTTAGCATTTCATATAGAATTTAAATTACATTTTAAACATAAGCATGTTTCCCAGTTTTTCTCAAAAAAGAAAAAAAAAATTGTATTGCCCGCAATCAGTATGCGACCCGTATTGAGGCCCTATTTGCCACTAGCCAACTACGGGTTTGCAACCCGCGGTTGACCAAGAAAAAATTCTTAACTTTCTTCTTTTACTTATTTTATATTGAGCACAATAGTCATGACAATTGTTATATAATTTTCGTTTGTTTACATTGTTATAAGAGGTTGAATGAACTTAGGCCTTTCATAAACCAAGATTACAATATGTAACACAACCACTTAAACTATTAAAAGGAATAGTGTGGGGGTGCTTGACCTGGTATTGGTAGCTATTAAGATATGTGTTAATTCCATGTTTGTTGAATATTCGTGTTGAATGTTTTGACTAACAAGTATAACCTAGGTAGTAACCATTTAATAGAGGTTTGATTTTATTATTTACTCAAGAAAATAAAAGTCCTAGCACTAGCTGTTGCACTTAGGAAAAAATTATCTATATTTTTG